TGGGGCAATCTATTTGATACTGGCAGCCACTGGACATTGAGCCATTGACTTCGAGTCCAATGGTCCAGCCAGTTTTCTGTCCATTTTACAGTCCATTCATCCAGCCCATACCTTCTTAGCTTGTTTGTGAGAATGTTGTGGGAGACTATCAAAAGATTTGTTAAAGTCAAGCTTTATCATGTCCACTGCTCTCCTCACAACCACAGAGCCAGTCATCTCATCATAGAAGGCAATCAAGTTGACTTGCCCTTGGTAAATCCATGCTGACTGTTTCTAATCATTTTCTCCAAGTGTTTACAAATGGATTCCTTGAGGACCTGCTCCATGATTTTTCCAGTGACTGAGGTGAGGCTGACTGATCTGTAGCTCCCTGGATCCTCCTTTTCCCCTTTCTTAAAGATGGGCACTATGTGTCCTTTTCCAGTTCCGGATGATTGGAAAAGGCCAAATATAGTGCCCACTTTGGAAGGTGGTCCAAGTGTACCCAAGAATAAAAGATCCATGGGAAAAGAAGAACAACAAGCAAGAGGAACTGGACACTACAGTCTGCTAGTCAGGGCACTGGAAAAAATAGTAAACACGAACAAATTCCTAGTAACTTGAGAGATGCCAGAATCATTGCCATATTCAAGAAAGGAGATAGACCAGACTGCAGTACTTATCATGGTATTGCACTCCTGTCCATAGCTGGGAAGATCCTCACCCACACTCTCCTCAATAAATTCACTTTCCTTGCTGAGGACATTCTACTCAAATGCCAGTGTGGCTTCAGACCACTCAAAGAGACCATATATATGTTCTTTGTTGTTAAACAGCTTCAGGAGAAGTGCCTGTAAGCAATACCAAGATCTTCACATGGACTTCACTGACCTGATGAATGCCTTTGATTCAATCAACAGGAATGTCTTCACAGTGATATGACTGTGACCATCCTAAGCAATGGCTCAGAAGCAGACCCCTTCACTCTTAGAACTTGTGTCAAGCAAGGATGCATAATTGCACCAACATTTTTTCCCACATGTATATTGCAGCTATTCTGAATCTCATTGCTGATAGACTTCTGTCTGGAGTCAGTATCCAGTATCACGTGGACAGGAGTCTCTGTAACCTCAAGTGTTCCAAATTCAAGATAACCAACACTTCCGTTACTGATCTTCAATAGGCTGACAATTGTTTTGTGTGTGGCCACTCAACTGAAGAGCTCCAAGTCATTCTTGACTGCTTCTGTGAGCCAAGTGAAATGCTATGATTCACTGTAACTTTCTGGCAAACCAAGTCAACCAACTACACTTCCATTTATTACAATTAAGGACAATCCTTGAGGAATGTTGACCATTTCTCCTTCATGGGTATAGTCATGCACCAAGCCATAGGCGGTCTGACTGGGGCTAGTGTGAGCCAATAGCTAGAGGTCCAAGAGGTAGCTGGGTCAAAACCAGAGGATCAGAGTTTGAATCAAGGTTAAAATGCTAGGCAGAACAAGATCAAGGAGCAAGCTGGGTCAGGTACTTGGGAGGGCCAAGCTCCAAAGAATCTGAGTCACAAGGCAGAGGTCGAAGTCTGAGCTGGGTCAGCAATAAGCAGTCAGATCTAGGGATCAGGATACAGGAGCAGGAAGACAGCAGGATGGTCTGAAGGTGGCAGGAGCCTTGTTATTGTTCAGACAACTGCCACAGGAAACAGGAAAGTTGCTTACATAGGTGTGAGGATCCAATCAGCAACGGGAAGCATGGACCAATCATGAGCCAGCAGTAGGCCTTTTTCCAGTGAGTCCCCTTAGCCTGTCACTTCACTTTTGTTTGTGAGCTGTGGCTTGATGGAGGACTGAGTTAGAGTTCTGTCCCTGAGCCCCTAGGTCGGGGTCTTGGGACTGAGTCCTGATGGGTACCTACCACTCCCTAAAAAGTGAATGTAAACAACAATATTTACCCGGTATTGAGAAAAGTTAGAATAGATCAGATTACTAACAAATTCAGAAATCCAGACTCTCCTCTTGCTTATGTTGGCCAGTGCTGCCTTTGGACATCACCAAAATCATGTCTTTATGACATCAGGACACAAACCAACTTCTTGTCTACCTGGATGTTGTCATCACTACTCTGTTGCAATGGTGTGAAACTTTGATGACATATCAGAAACAACTGAAAGCCTTGAAATGTTACCATCAGCAATGTTTTCAGAAAGTCTTCCATATCAGTTGGAAGTACTGAAAAACAAACACCAGAATTCTGGCTCAAGCTAACACCATCAGTATTGAAGCCAAGCTTAGATGACCTCAGCTGCACTGGATAGCACATGTCATAAGGATATATGACTACAGGGTCCCAAAACAGGTCTTATTCTCCGAACTCATCAATGGTCACTTGACCACTCTAAAGGCAGGCAAAAGAAGAGATTTAAGGACACCTCAAAGGCCAATCGAAGAAATGCAATTTTAACATTAATACTTGGGAGGCTCAAGCACTAAACTGCCCACTACAGTGCTGTGAGATATAACAAGGCATCAATTATTTTTAAAAAACTTGCCCCACTATAGAGGTAAATAGATAAGATATACAAAGTGAAAGAGTTGTGACCCAATACCACTAGGATCTACTCCTTTCCCCTGAAACTATTTGCCACATCTACAATCAAACATGCAGATCTCAGATCAGTCTCCTCAGTCACTGACACTCACAGATGACTTCCCTATTTACTGGAAGACTGTCATCCTCATATTAAGGGACTACTGCCGATGATGCAAAAGGTAAATACAACTACCACTGCTGCTGCTGCACTCAAAATAGAACTGAGAACTCTGGATCCTGAGTGGACAGACATACCTAACAGCCAGACAGGGGTGATAGTTCAGACTTGCATTTCCTATTAGTGCTTCCTAATTAGTGGTTCCGATAACTGTTTCCTATTAATCAGCTCTAAGTGGCTCTCCAAATTGTAAAGGCTCTCAGAATTGCCCTTCTGAGGGCCTAACTCTCCTCTCTGACCTATATAAAGAATTTACGTGCTTAATTGTGTTTCTTTGGCTCATACTGCTAGGACCTGCATTGGTAGGTGTGTTGCCAGTAGGTCAAGGAAAGTACTTATTCCTCTCTATTCAGCACTGGTGAGGCCACATCTGGAGCACTGTGTTCAGTTTTGGGCCCCCCACTACAGAAATAATGTGGACAAATTGGAGAAAGTCCAGTGGAGGGCAATGAAAATGGTAAGGGGGCTGGGGCACGTGACTTATGAGGAAAGACTGAGGGAACTGGGCTTACTGAGTACAGAGAAAAGGAGAGTGAAAGGGGACTTAATAGCAGCTTCCAGCTACCTGAAGGGGGATTTGAAAGACTATGGAGCTAGACTATTCTAAGTGGTGGTAGATAACAGAACAAGGAGCAATTGTCTCAAGTTACAGCAAGGGAAGTTTAGGTTAGATATTAGGAAGAATTTTCTCACTATGAGGGTAGTAAAACACTGGAACAGGTTACCCAGAGAGGTGATGGAAGCTACATCATTGGAGGTTTTCAAAACCTGGCTAGACAAACCTGGCTGGGATAATCTAGTTGGGGATGGTCCTGCTTTGAGCAGGGGGTTGGACTATATGACCTCCTGAGGTTCCTTCCAACCCTAACTTTCTATGATTCTATTACCTAGCTCCAGTCTGTAGGTGCTGCAGTTCCTTAGTAAAGCTGCCAAATGAACTGATATGGATTTTTGCCCTGAATGCTATTTTTTCCTTTTACAAATTATTTTCTCTAGCCTCTCTCTGATTCTGTTCAACAAGTCTGGCCTATGAAACAAAGACAAAAGGGAGCAGAAAATTTAAGGCCAGATCCTATTTCACTTTCTGTACCTAACTGGTACCTATACATCTGGGTAACTGAAGTTTTTGGCATTTATGCACAGCTTGGGAGTTGGTTCCCCCCATGGCACAACAGATTCACTCTAATCGTGTGCCTGCTGGAAGTCAAACAGACGATGAGGAGGACCCTCCCATCTTTTAGCTCAATAGCTTTCTCCCAACTGGCAGAAAGTTCTGTAGTACTGTTTATCTATTATACTCAATTAATATTAAATGCAAACTGCAGTGTCAGCTTCACATCAAGGGCTGGAGAGGGATCTGGGCAATATATGGCCTCTGTCCTGGTGGTTAATGCACTTTGCTGGGAAGCAGGAGAGTTAAGTATTTTATATTCTGTGGGTCTGAGTCTGATCTCAAACCAATTTTAATATTATTACATGTCTACACTAGAAATAACTCTACTAAAGTATTAGGAGTTGTAATCAAGTAAAATAAGTATAAATTGAGTCATAACCAGGCCTGGGGGGTAAAATCAGGTCTGGAGTGACAGCCTTCTTTTTTGTTTTATAAACTGTTCATTTAAATATACATTGTAAAACATTTTTTATTTGTTTCATCAGCAATTTCTTCTGGACAATATTTTTTGGCTGCATGCACCATAAGATTGGCATTTACAGGGTGCCAAATGGTAAACCAAACTTTAATTTTACTGTGGCCCACCTATATTTGTTATATATTTAAAGCAGCCAGGCAGCTGACTAAAAAATGAATGAGGATATAACAGGATACTGGTGCCCATGTATTAGAAATTAATCCTAAAATGGATGTGCAAAACCTACTGGGTTAACAAGTTCATTACAGTGATATTTTTCTGAATTACATGAGAAAAATCTATAAAGGAAATTGTGTTTAAAAATACCACAGTTGAAATATAATAGTTACAATTTAAGGAATTATTGATTACTTCTTAATAACCGGAACCAGCCTGTCTACTGCATATATTTATTTTTATTTGAAAAGTTTCTGTAATGATCGTAACAGAAGAAAATGAATGGCTACTATATAAAGAATCCTGCTTTCACAGTTTGATGAGAATCATGCTTTCCCCATTACATAATTATTTAGTTTGTTAATTTCATCTATAAAAATCAGTGACAAATTTGAATCTTCATCCGCAATGAGAACATCAGCAGTGTGATGAGTGAATGGTACGTACCAGGAGGCATCACTGAATGTTCTTGGATCTGTTCCAAAGCACCTTTCAATCTCTCAATATCTTGCAAAAGTACAAGGGATTTCATTTGATGTAGAAGCATCACATCTGAGGAAGCCATACTGCGAGATTCAAGGTGTTGTAAAATCTCTTCAATGGTTGCTGGACTCACATCCGAATCTGTATGTTTTGATTTAGCTAAAGAAAACAAGCAACCTGAATACAATTGGGAATGTTCTTCAGGTTTACTGAATATTTATAATTACACTTGCTTTTCAAATACATTACCTTCCTTTATATTTATACACTGTAAAAAACAGTGCCATGATGTACTGAAGATCAGCCTATTTTTCCTATTTCCTAGATAATAAAACAAGGTTGGAAAGAAGATACTGATTCTAAATAGTGAAGATGAGGAAAGTGGGACTATTAAGGATGATCCCCAAAGGGGACTTATTTCATGTTATTTGGGGCAGAAGCCCCATGTGGCTTGTCCAGCCGGAGACAGAAGTCTACTGATGACTGCCACGAATCTCTTTTCAGTCAGTGTGTCAACTGGTTGTTATAATCATTAAAGATAGGAATGCAAACTGAGAAAAGGGAAAGAAGTAGAGAAGATCTGCATCTAAGCACTTTGGGAAACACATGATTATCCTGTTACTGAATTTTAATATTTATTAATTGAATGAACATGATACTGGAAAGGAAACTATGCTGATACCTGTACTCATTTCCCCAGTCTTTGAATGGTCTCTCCCTATCAACACCTTTAACTTGGGCTAACTTTAAAGTTACATTTTTAAATGGGCCAAATCCCGTGATGACTAGATTATTTTCAATAAAGCTAAGACACAAATAGAAAGGCATAATGCAATGTTATGCCATTAGCTGAAGCTAGTGAAAGTGGTGGCTTCCAATTTTATGTAAAAACAGGGGTGGGGGGTTTAGGTAATTCAGCTAGGAAGTATATTACAAAGGCAAACAGCAAATGTCGGATCTACATATGGTTTATCTAATAGAGAAATTTGTCATGGACTGATCTGTGGAGGTAACATCAAATCTACCAGATGGCTTTTCTTTTGCTTGAAAATTTCTCTTCTATGAATATCCAGGTCAATATTGACTTTAACTTTCTGCTATGCAAATCTGGAGTTCTGATCAATCTGTCGATCACTGGTAGACACTTGTACTTGGCTTCTTTAAAAACTAGCAATCTGAATACTTTTTGATAGAACTGTATGGCCAAGACAGTTATGGGAAAGTGAGCAGGTTTTCATTCTGGCTCAGATATAAGCAACTAAATATTAATAAAACACTTTTCCCAGTTAAGTGGTTGTAAGCCTAGGGTAACTCCACAAGCTGGGAGAACTACCTTGGATTTATATTAATATAAGTAAGAACAATATTTAATCAAACATGCAAATGGCATCATTTTTATTACTGACAGAATTACAATGAACCAGAAAAACCTGACTGTCAGATAACAGACTTCACATGTAGATTTGACAGAGTGGACATCTTTTTACCAAAAATTTTGCTATTTAGGCTGAAAATTGAGAAAAATAAATACAAAACCCCATAAAATCATTTTCAACGCTGTGCTATATTTTAAAGGTAAATGTTATGAGACTGACTCTTGACAGTTCTGGTTTATGATGGACACATATAGGCAGGCAAGCTATTTAAGATTCCCCAAAGATAGTCAAAGCTGTGTGTTGTGCAAAGGTTACACTACTTTTCCCAGTTTTTACAAGGACAGTTTTAGTTTTAAAGATATGTCCTGGGTCCCAACAATGTAACGCTTTTAATTTTAGATGCTACAAAATTTGCTTCAGATTATGTATAGAGAATCATTTACCCATCACTGAAGCCTACCTCTGAAGTGCTATTGTGGCAGAAGCCTCACAGAACAGAACTCCAAGGGGGAAGGGAAGAATGATGAAATTATGGGGAACTATCTGATCTGAGTCACCTGAATTAGAATTCAGGAGGACATCAGGGTCTATTGTTAAGTGCCTTTTTTCATTAAGTGCTAGGTATCTTGACTGGATACAGATTCCCAAATCCTCACTCTTATATTGTATTTACAGGATCAACAAATCCTCTAAATATAGTTCCTGCCATGAATTCCCATTTCCACTGGGTGAATGGTGAGTTGGAAAGTCAGTCTACCCCTTTCTATGTTCTACAAATGAATCATGCAATGGGGAAAAGGAAGATTTCTAGAACATAGGCTGAGGGGCAAGAATGAATTTGCAACAGTATGTATGCCCTCATTTAAAGAATTCTGATACTGAGCAGCTCATCTGGAACCAGCTTCCAAGTGAGGTGGTGCAGGCTCCTACCCTGGGGGTTTTTAAGAGGAGGTTGGATGACCACCTTACTGAGGTCATTTGACTCCAGTGCTCTTCCTGCCATGCCAGGAGGTCAGACTAGATGATCTGCTCAGGTCCCTTCCGACCCTAGAAACTATGAAACTATGAAACTATGTTTGTTCACAGAAGGAAGAAAAATATGGATGGTTTTGCACTTTTTATCCAAAGTTTACAAAATGCTTTATGAAAGTGAGGAAGCGATTGTATATGCATTCTACAGACGAGGAAAATGATTAAGGCCATATCTTTTATACCTGGTACTTATCTGGTTATTTAAAATGGGATTGGATTGTTATGAGCTCTAAGAACTTGCAACTTTAACTGACATCAATGGGATTTGGCCCATTTTGAATAAAAATAATAAGTATACGGATATTTTCTTCTAATTTCAACTTGTAAATGATATTGAAAAGATATTAGAAAGGATGGTACATACTGTCAGTGAAATATATTTCTCTCGTTGCCTGCAAGAAGTCCAGAATACCATCTGCTTTTTCATCTATGTCTTCAAAGTCTACTCCTCCATCACTGTTGCTTTTGTCAGGCTGGTATGTAAAATCCACGCAAGTAGTTTTTGTTAGTAAGCCACCTGCTCTCATTTTTTCTTTTTGCCGTTTCTTTTTCATTTTCCTTTTTTTGTTTTTGCTTATTCTGGGGCTGTCTGTCTGCTGCAGCTGTAAATTATCTTGAAACAGAGTCCCATGCTTCTTCAATTCTGTTTGTTCTCCATATAAATTACCAGGGTTTTGCAAAGTGTTCTTTTGTTTCTTACTTCGAGTGCGCTTTCGTTTGGGTTGTCCTTGATAATCCTCCTCTGCAGATTTGAGAAAGACACGATAGTTGTCAATAAAATTGGCTGTGTAACCACTTATATCCCTTTAATATTGACCAGCTTTTGGGATGTCTAGGTGCTGCTAATCTTACTCCATTTTCTTGGTGTGACTTTTAGTACTCTATATTTTGAGAGCATGAAAAGATTAAAACCAGATTATTCTTCCATTCTATATTCCATGGCATCCTGACCCCTCATATTTTTGGTAGATGTGGCCTCCATGTTCAGAGCCATAATATATAGTTCTACAGAGTGGGAGACAGCCCTGTACAGGAACAAAACATATTACATGTACCCAAATCCAAGGCTATTTCAAATTTAAGATGCACCCTCCAATAATTAGATTCTATATATGGAAAATTATAAATTTGTTCAATTTGTTACAATTTTATATGTAGAGGATCTAATTAGTGGAATCTAATTAGTGGAAGGTCATCTTAAATAACTGCTGGGGTGGAGAAAACAGTGGCAGGGAGAAGGGAGCCAGACACCTGACCCTTGTTCCTCTAGCCCTTGTCTCACTGTGCTTGTGCCCACCCCTTGCCATATGCCCCCTGGTGTATGCCCCACTGCTGCCTGCCCTCCATACTTCTGCCTGCCCCCTACTGCCTGTGCCTGCCCCTTGCAGCCTGCTTTCCCCACCCCCTACTTCTCCCTGAAGCCACGCCTCCCATTGTCCTCCGTACAGCCTTCTTCCCTACCAAACCATTCCCTGCCCATCCTCCCCACCTATTCTGCATCTCTGCTCTTCTAGGACACAGAGGAGCCATGACCCAGCCTGGCCAGAAAGAAGCAAAGGCAGTTCCCAGTCAGGCCAGGTTGGAGGGGGAAGATGAGGGAGACAGGGGGTGGGGAGCAGGCACAGACACAGGCATGGGGGGGGGCAAGGGTGGAGGGGGAAGGCTGCAGGTTCCTCCCCTCCACCCCACAATCTGCCCCACGCTTCTCCTGACTGCACGCCATCTCTCCTGCCAAATGAGTCATTTCAGCTTCAGGACAAGCAGTGGCCCAATTTTGGCTTCAGTCAGCCCCAAGTGTGGGCCAATGCTAGAGCTGAACTGCTGCCTGCCCCAGGCCAGTACTCAAATTCAAGATGAGGCTTTAGTTCCTCCATGCTGACTGGGGAAAAATCCTTGTCTTAGATTCAAGTGAAAATGGTAATATGGGTTGTACCATTCACAGTAGCTCTAGTGACAAAAGAGACATAAGGTGAAGGTGGAGCCTAAATCTTGTCCCTCTCAATATCAGTAGGAGGAGCTAGCCATGCACATGGAACAAGGAAGCATGTAGAAGATCTTGCAAAAGGTTGTTGCAGCCCCTCCATGTCATGCTACAGGCTATGCCTCCAGAGCATAATTTGGACTTCAGCTTTGCCTCTTTTTTTTTCCTCTTCTCCCTTCGGGACACCACACTGCTAGTTCTACCTGAAAACTTTACCTCTTTGAGAAAAACATCTGAAGTAGAAGGACCCTGACTAACAAGCTTAGATGTCTCTACCAGTGTTAATTCTATCATTCTCTGACTACAGTATAATT